CTCACCCTCCCACGCCTCCCATTCCTGCAACTTTATTCTGGCGGTGCGCAACGCCCTGCTGAAGCTCGTCCCGTTCCTCCTTGTAAGCGTCAATGAGGGCGTTGTCGTTCTCTGTCTTCGTTAGCACCGACTGCAGGTACTCGCGGAGAGTGTGATTGTCCGCCTCCAAGTTGACATGACGCGCCTGCGCCGCCTCTACCCGCCGCTTTTGCACCTCCAATTCCGCCGTGCGTTTATCGAGCTCTTCCTGCAGTTCCCGCAGCTGAAGAAGTCGACGGCTCTGAACTTCTGCCACGCGTTCGCGTGCTACATCATCCAAGTCGCGGTTGCGGGACGTCAATGCCGTTGTTGCCTCCGTGGGTGCAGACGGTTTGCCTCTGCCTCCTCGCACAAGAGCAGGAACAGCACCAACACTGCTGTCTTCGCCATCCAACTTTGCGGATGCATTGACCGCCGCAACTGCGGCGGTCAATGAACGCTCCAATTCCTTCACTTTTCCTTTCAGCAGCACAATTTGCTGCGCACGGCCGCGCCATCCCCCTCTACTCTCCGTTGTGTTCTTCAACAGCGCCTCCAGCTCCTCTGCTGTGCCGCCAATCTCCTGCTGCAGGATCTTACGCATCCGCTGCGACTCCCTCTTGTACTCCTCCAGCTGCACTTTACCGTCGCTGAGCTGTACATAGACCCGCTCGAGACGCTCTTTTAGCGCGGCAACACTACTTTGCTGATCCTCACTTTGGTCTCCAGCTCCACCTACACCCTCCGATTGTCGCACACGTCCCTTTGAAGGCTCACTGCCTTTGCCGTCACCTAAGCCCTGCACCTTCGCCTGCAGTGCCGCCAACTGCGCTGTGAGTCGTCGTGTGTGTGTTTTTTCAGACTCCAGCTGCACCCCCAACTGTCGGGCACGCCGAAGCTGATTCAGGTACCTCCCCTCCAGCACATCCTTGTCAAGGCCGCCCTCAGCCAAAAGTGCGCGGAGTTGGGCGATCTCCTCCTTGTAGGGATCACCAATGCTCGTGCTACTCACAACTCCGCTGGTCATTGACCCGGCAAACCGGGATGGAAGGGCTCTAATGAAAACAGTGAAGGGAAAACAACAACGTCACCTCCAATAACAAAAGCCGTAAAGGCAAAAAAAAAAAAAAAAGAGAAAGCAAAACAACAACAACACGAGCAGTCCGAATACATGAGATTCAGATATTGCAAGCAGATACCACATGCTGGCGGTGTAATGCAGGAAAGATACGTTTCAACCCACATCCTTCTCCTCTTCACACCAATGAAAAGAATTGGACATGATATATATATATATATCTAACTCCTTTGCTTCTGGAGGGAAGGGGACCTCTCCCTTCCTCCAAAACATCCAGAGAATATGAGCACACACGAACACATATATATATATATATAACGATACGCGTCACATTAAATGGGATGTGGGCAGCACTGAATGAAACTCTTCTGCACTTCTCGAAGTCTGGGGATGTCTTTTTCTATTTCATCCTTGTCATCGACACCTAAACGGAACCGCACCGGAGTTGAAGCGCGGCTTCGCCACCATTCCTCCACCAGGTAGGCGATCGTGTGCTCCACCCACCACAACTGTTGAGCCGCGGTGAGGCCACTGCTCGGAGTGGCAGAGAGGCAGAGTGGCTCTCCAGAACTGGGCAACACACTAATCAAAGAGCCAAACATCACCTCCGCACGACTGCGTACAGCCCCCGCTGCCTGTTTTGCCCGCAATTCGAGCTCCTGCTGCAACTCCAAAAGAGAGACATGCGTTTGAAGCGGATCCCTCTGATAATTGTGACGTGATGGCCATGACGACGAGGGTGCCATATCCATACCCTCTTCCTCTTGGGACTGGACGCCTGACAATTTTGATCGGCATGCTTCTCGATAAGCTTCCGCCGCCGCCTGCACGGTCTCAAGACAGTCCAAGTGTTTTTCCCATGCGCCAACGCGATCCAATTCGGAAAACAAACTGTTATTGGGCGGCAACAGTGACATGAGAGATTCACACAGTTGACGCGGACATCCGGCATCGTAGTCATGCAAAAGAATATCCACCGCACGTGCAACGGCCCTAAAGGATTCGTCCACAAGTTTTACAACCAACTGCGAGAGTGTCCGTTTGGGGATTTGATAACCCCCACCATCATCATCAGCATCATCAGGCAAAATCGCACCTTCAAATCCCTTCGGCGTGCCAACAGCAATGCGTATACGGGTAGTCGTTAGAAATAATGAAAATAACTCCTCTTGTGCATCGGCAGCTAGCTGAACGCCATGCCGCATGACAAGTGCCTGCAACATCATCACCAGGTAGCATTGCACTTCATATAACTCATGGAGAGCATTGTCCTCACTCACAAAGGGCGTTTCTTCAAAATCACTCGAATTCACCTCGTTTCTTGCGGATGCAAATGCCTTGTCTCTTTGCCATACCATAGCCAGACGACCATCCGTGCGTAATTTTGCTTGCCGTAACATTACCGTATTCGCCAAACGACAGCCCTCCCTAAATACGGCGATACAAAAGGGCGTTGTCGCCTGCCCATTCCCATAAGTGCCACCAATATTGTTACTAGCAGCAGCAGCAGCAGCAGCAGCAGCGGTGGCGGCGAAAGAGGATGTCGCAGTGAAGGACGAAAAGGTGCCTGGAGAGATCCGCAAGGATGCCTTTTGCAGAAACTGAGGGTATTTCAACATGAGATGCGTAAGGCCCACTGCACATGGTGTGGCCGGTAGAACAGTGAGTGAGCGAAGACACCATTGCCCGAGTGCAACCACTGTGTGCTGGCCAAGTGTCCCCGCGCCAAGCACCATGCACGTCATAACAATGACGTTAGGCATTGTCACTGTCGGGGGCACCTTCTCTGGAAGGGGCCACCGTAAAGGGAAGGGGTGTTCGACTTCAGGAGCAGTAGACAGCTGCAGAGGCGAAAATCGGAGAGACGAAGTGAGGGAGGCTGCTCGCCCCATCAACGCAGCAGAAAGCCCCAAATTGAAAGGCATGCCACTCGCGGCTTCGGCGGACGTGGGTGTTGGTTGAGTCTGAGAAAGATGGAATGGATCCCGGTGGGGCGGGGTTTGCTGCTCTTCCTGCGAGTGCTCTGGAAACTCATGCATGGAATAAGAAGCCGCCGCCAAAATGGAACCCTTCCCCATAGAATTCGGTGAAATCAGCGACAGAATTCCGACTCCTGTGGTATCCAAGGGATCAATCGTTTCATTCAGGACTGGCAACGCCTCTGTTTGTTGATTCAGCACGCACTGTTCCTTTTCCGTTCGCACTGAAGTGCGTAAACTGTGTTGCGTCACAAGACAGTATGCGAGGGCAACCGTAGGGCTCCATAAGAGTGGCTTCTTGGCCAATTCCACTGTACGATGACGCAAGAGTGCCCGGACTGCGTTGGGATGCAGGAGCTGGCTGGCAATGAGGGATCCGCTAATATTCAACGCCCATACCGGATCCTCAATTACTTCAAGAAGAGAAACCGCCGTCGTCGCAAGGCGTTTTGTTGCGTGTAGCATCATGGAGTGATACATCTCCTCTTCCCTCTTGGAAGCTTCCACTGAGGCACCATTCCCCCATTTAAAGAATTTGGACACAAAAGTTGGCGCCGATAACTCTATTAACCGCACAACGACCCTTCTCGCAGTAAGACCAAATGCATCCCCATGTACACTCTCCTTCAACAAGGCCTCAATCAACAATGGCATAAACGGAGGGTATAACTCACTAATACGTGCCACTCCTGCGGCTGTGTGCAGTTCCCGTGGAACAAGTCTCATACATTGCTGCAAATCCGTCTGAGACTCCACATCGTTACTGTTGCCCGGGCCTCCGCTGCCACCACCACCACCGCCACTACTACTAATATTACCAATAACATGGTGTCTTTCCGCAAGAAAGGGCTCAGCAAGCTCTGACAAGAGCCGCACAATGCTCGCTTCCCGTTGAAACGGCGGTATCTCACACAAATTATAGACGTGAGACTTTAAAGATTTGGATTTTTTATTTGTTACGGAAACATCGCCCTCCTCATTTACCCCGCGTGCCGCCGATCCCGAAGACACGGAGGCGTCACCATCATCGTCACTAGTGCTATTCATCTTGCCGCTGCTGCTGCTGCTACTGCTGCTATGTCGACTGCTGGAGAAGTTGGAGCCGGCTCCACTAAGACTTTCTTGACTAGGCCTGCTTACATGTTGAGAGACAATCACACCTTTAAGCAACGCAAAGTGCTCCTGCATATTTACGCGTATTGGACGTCCCGAGATGAAATCTTTCGAGGCTGCAGATGTGGCACCAGTCACCTGCACCCTTCGGCTCCCACCGCTCTTGTGCAGCGTTAAACGTTTGCCCCCATCATCCTTCAACTGCGTCACCACTGATTCTGCCGCCGCCATTTGCGAGGAGGAGGCGGAGGGTGCCCCCGAAGAGCCCTCCAATTTTAGAAAGGGCAACACCAAGACGCTGAGAATTCCGTGCAGCAGGAGGGGGAACTCCTGCACGCTCTCCGTGCCGTCCGTCGTGCTCGCATCCAAACGATCCTTCGATTTGCGGGGGTGATGATAATGATGCCCGCTTTGCGAAGCTCCAAATGCGTCCGCGACGGCAGCAGTGTCGGTGGCGCTCCTCGCGGTTACATCTGCACGGATGACGTCACAATGCGCCTCTCGCTGCTGATGGTGGAGCGGATGTGGTCCACGGCGCTGGACCTCCGTTATGTAGCGGAGCAGCCGGCCTGGTGGGATCGACAAGGCCGCCGCGAGAAGATAAAGTCGCTGCGATGACAACAAGGGGAGGGAAGAGACGGCATTGGAGCCGTCACGCCTCGTGCCGTTCCCATCATTGCGTGGGTTCCACATGGAGGAATAATCCACACGCAAACGAGAAGAAAGGCGGAGGATGGGGAAAAACAAAATCAGACGAGGGGCAACAACAACAAAAAGTCACCCGGACGCCAGCGACACCTGCTGGTTCTTCCTACTGCAGTGGATGAAACTCCCTTCCCCGCCGTCCCTCTACACCGGCCTTGTGCCCCTCCTCGCCACGTACGTCACACAAGCAATATATAAGTATATATAAGTATATATATATAGTTGTGGCCTTCCTTTCGGTGTGTGCGGGGATATTAACGGCCCACAACGTGCTGCAACATGAAAAAAGTCAAAAAAAAAAAAGGAAATGAAAAGACAATTCACATATTTCCTCCCCCCTCCCCCACAACATGCACGGAGAGGAAAAGTGAAAAGGGACAAAAACAAACAATCAAATAAACAAACGAGAGGGAAGGCCGGGAGGGAAGACGGCTGGTGGCTGCCCGGCCCTCTTTTCCCCCCTCCCCCACCACCGTCCCTCTTTATTTATTTATTTATTTTTGTTTCTTCCCTTCGTCATTTCACGTGTTTCAGTGCATATATATTCATTCATATAAATGTTTTTTTTTTTGCTGCTCCACGTTGGAAAAAGTTCTTAGCGTAAATACTTTTTTTCTGTACATTCCATGTGACCACCAGCAAAAGGTCGCAATATACATTGCATGCACGCAGGGGATAAAAGTATTAAACACACACACACACACACAAAAAGAAAAAAAAAAGAAAAAAAAAGAATAAAGCGAAAGAAAAAGAAAGAAAGAAAGAAAGAGAGAGAGAGAGAGAGAGAGGCGTGGAAAACAAAATACATGCATACATACATACAGATACGAATATCAATATCGGCTACGAGTTAGGAGGGATTTCATGTGTGTGTATTTTATTATTATTATTTTTATTCTTATTTTATTTTGTTCCCCCTTTTCTCTCCCTCACACCATCACTGGAGAAGTAAATTTGTTTTTATCCACATGTAAATAATTATTACTTCCTCCTCCCTTCCTCTTTCCCTCTTTTCCCCTCCCATACACAAACAGACAGAGATGTATGTATATATATATATGTGTGTGTGTGTGTGTGTCTATTATACATGAAGAAGAAAGAAAGACGGCATGTGTGTACGTGTCTCTCTCTCTCTCTCTCTCTGTGTTGAGTTGTGTTGTGTTGAGTTGTGTGTGTTTCGGCCAAATCATACAAGTTTACATCAATTTTTATTTTGTTTAATTATTATAAAATTTTTATTTTTTTCTTCTTTCGTTTCTTTATACATTTCCAATATATATATATATATATATTGTGTTTTTTGTTTCCTTTTGCTTTTGTTCAGTGTGTGTGTGTGTGTGTGTGTGTGCCATGGAGAGTACGTGGGCGGGGGGAAAAGGAAAAAAAAAAAAAAAATGGCAAACAACACGGATGGGGAGGATGAGGAGGGAAACATGAGGATCTCTCTCTTTTTATTATTATTTATTTTGCATTTCAAATCTTCTCATGCTGTCACGTCCCCTCCGCACCTTCCGTCCCCCTGCGGCCACAGCAATCGGCATTATTCCCCGCCACACATTACCCGGCAGCCGTATTAAATCCACATGCATTCACACGCGCAAGAGTCGCTACTTCCTTTTAGCTTTTCAATTGCCAGGTCAACCGATACGCCCGCATTATGGCTTTTCCTCCTTGGAACGTTGCTGCATTTGCTTTTTCGCCTTCTTGCGTTCCCGCTCCACCGTCGTGATGGACATCATCTTCAGTTCATTTCTGTCATGGATTTCATTCTCCGGGAAGTCGTCGGCAATGGCACCGCGGCCTACCGCCGCACCAAGCCACTTGTGGCTGCCAATCACGGGTTCTCCTTCATCCGAAACAGAACGCCCCTTCTCCGTGCTCCCCAAGAAAAATCCCGCACCGCCCGGGTCCTCCATGTCGTCATGGGCTTGTTTTTCGTCAGGACTGGCAGTGCGTTCGAGTGGCACGCGAATGTTTGACTGTGGCAATGACCCATGCCAACGGGCCACAAGCTTCGCAGTCGTCTCCAGTTCGCTCTCCCGCATGGCATCTAGCATACGCTGCAGTTTCAACCCGCACGAGCGCAGCAGATTCACTATGGCCTCGCCACGACCGACGCATGAATTTGACCGAGGCGACACAGTGGTGTCAAGTGACGGCCGCGCTGTCGATGCCGCTCCCGTTATGCTCCCGAGTGTTTCACCACATGCAATCTTTTCGGCAAGATGATGCACCCCGGCGTCGACGTCCAGCAGCATCTTCCCGAGGGAATCTTGCAGTCTTTGCGCTTCCTCCAGTTCGTTCTGGCGATTGGAGAGGTGGTCATCGAACTCTTCCAGCACACGGCGACGCGCTATGGCACGTTGTTCAACCACATGTGCCAACGATGTGCCTCCCTTTTCCGGCGAGCCACCCCTGCCGCCCTTACCAATGTCATCAGCGTCCATTCCAAAATGGCCCCTCTGTGAATGCTGCTGCATTAACGCCTTGGTTGTGCCACCGTTTTGCTGCTGAATCTCTTCCCACTCGTCCTGAAGTTTTTTTCTTTCTTCTTTCAGGGATGCTTCGGCCGAATCCGCCTCCTTCACGGTGAGCAGCAGCTGCGCATTTGCGTCCCGCCGTTCTTGTAATTTGTAAATAACATCAGTGATGTTGTTGCTCATTGTGATCTCCTTCAGGCGGTTGTACAGTTCCCGCTGCCTCTTCTGCTGCTCTACTTCCTCCGGCTGAAGTTTTTTCTGCGCATTCACGCGGAGCCTCTTCTTTTGGGAGTTACTAATAGCCAAACGCGCGCGAAGACGACGTTCCTCACCCTTCTCAATCTTATCCCTCAGCGTCTGCGCGCGTTTCTGCAGCTGCTCTCGCTTTGACATCACAAACACGCGCCTTTCCGCAATATCCTTCTTCTGCACCCGTCGTTCTTTTGTGATTTGACTCTTGAGCCGCTGCAACTCCGCCTTTGCCGCGTCTCGGCCCTTTGTGGCGTCCGCGGCCACGCTATTCAAGTCGGCCAGGTCCTTTTCCTTGCACTGCAGTGTCTTCTCCATGGCGGCGAGCTGAGTGTCAAACCCGGACTGCTCCTGCTGAAGCCGCTCTAACAGGGTTTCATATGTGCGCCGGATGGCGTTCACTTCATTGTGTTTGATGAGGCACTTGTCGAGACGGTTCTCCAGCGCGCGGATCTTCTGCCCAACGGTGGAGTTTTCATCGACGACAGGACCCCCCTCCTTCATGATAAAGTTGGTCTCCTCCATCGTGCGCTCAATTTCCCGCGCCAACTCCTCCTTCTTGCCCGTCACGCTGTTCAGGCTACGCTTCAAAAGGTACAACTTGTTTTGCAGCTGTTCCTCCTCCCTACGGAAGTAGTCTTCGTCCTTCCCCTGGTGCTGGCCGCGCACTGCCTGCCGCATGGCGACCTGAAGCTTCGTGTTCTCCAGGCGCAGGTTTGTCAGCGTCTCCTTGTTACGGCGAATTTCACCATTCACAAGGTCGAGCTGCGTTCGCTGCCCCACATCAATCACCGACTGCTTCTTCTTCTGGACAAGCGGGTCACCGTCGAACATTTTTGCCGCCCTCTTCCCTCGTGACGCCCACTGACAGACACCACCTACTCCCTTGTAATCCCCCCGCTCCGCCTGCCTCGCGTGGAACCCTGCCTTTTCCCCCCTCCCTGCGGATGATGCCGGTACACAGCCCTTTGGGGTGAGTGGACTCAAGAAAAAAAAGACAAAGCCGCCGCTCACTCGCTCTGGGCCGTTACTTTTTATTTATAATTCTTATATTTTTGTCCTTTTTTTTTTTTTCTTCCTTCCTTCGTTGTTTCTTTCCTTTTCTCTCACCCCCTCTTCCCTTCAATTTTTTTATTGTTGTTGATTCAGGCAGAGCAAACAGGGGGGAGGGAGAAAAGAAAGAAAAAAAAAGGAAAAAGAAGAAGAAGAGAGCTTTGCGAATTATGATCGTCAAAAGAGGGCAGGCGTGTGCGTTTGGAAGGACGGCGGGGAAAACATCCGCTGTCACGACATGTGCCTCTCCCCTTTCCCTTCCATTCGCACGACAAAAGTTGACTGAGAGAAGGTGATACGTGGAGAAATAAAAGGGCACTGCAGGAGGGGGAGAGAAACAAAAAACAACAACAACAACAACAACAAGGGCAAACCGCCACATTGTGTGTGCGCACATGAATAAAATAATAATGAAGATGTGAAGTCTAATGAACAGACAGAGCCCCTGGCTCAGCCGGCCGCCTCAACGTGGTGCCAGGGTCTAGTACTCTTTGCTAGAGAGGAAGCTAAGCGCCTGCTGTTCATGCTTCAAACCCGATGAGTAGTTGTTACTTAGTTTTACGGGCCGGAAGGGCACCAGATGTTGGAGCCATTCTATAGTGGCTGCCCGCGGAGTAAGGTTATCCTTGCCACTGAATTCCTTCGTACGCTTACCAGAGCTGCACAATTGAGGTGTATTTACTACGACTGGTAAGAGAAGAAAAAAAAAAAAAAACAAAAAAACAGCACGTCAAACAAATCGTTGACAAAAGAGTCATGGAGTGACAGACGTTATTGGCGTCAACAGAGTGCAGTGCTGCGCGGCCAAACCTCACGCGCGCCATTTCAATGAGGGGATGTGAAAACAGAATCAAAACAAACAAACAAAAATCAAAAATCAAACACCTAAAACATTGCCTTTACTTCTCCCTTCTCCCCCCCCCCCCCCCC